TTAAGTTTTTTTTGTGTAGAAATCTTATGTTTGGAACTAGCCTAAAAAGAATTGAAAAAAAAACCTAAACTTCTTTTCGTTGTTTGTAGAAAATGTAAATATTGGATGGGCAAAATGAAGAAGAAATGGAACCAAATTATCATATCTCAAAAGATCAAAGAAAGTATAAATGTGATCATATAACATAACTGTGCTTAACTTTTATGGGAAAACAAGGAACTAATTTATTTCTCAACTCCAGATCAAATACAATAATTTATTGTTACCGGAGCATTTTTCAGCCGCACTTGTATTTAGATAACCACACACAGACTTACTATGATGTTGCATAAAAAAGACCCTGTTAGGAAAATAAAAATTACAAATGTAATATCAGATCTGTGAAAAATGTTGTACCTCAAGATACTACTATTTGATCTTTGTTCACCCCCGATGTTATACAAGCAAAAGCCAGATGGCGCATTTTGATGTTGGTTGACTAGCAGTATTGCGGTATAAAGAGAGAATGGCGTAACTGCATTATGCATGATTTTGAGAAAAGCGTGAACAATTCTTGAAGCTTAACATTAAGATCAGTTTCTTACGTAGCTTTAACATTTTTTTAAGACAGCCATAACGGACGTTGATATATTATCGCCTGCCTTTGACACAAGAAGGATAATATGAACTATACTAGTCTTACAAAAAAAAAATTAAAAAAATATAAATAACTTTTAAACATTATCTACTGAAAACTTGGAATTAGTCAGATTTGTCGTTTTGCCTTGACGACATGGCAGAGTAATGCGGTGCCGGGAGAAAGTACGTAATGACGAGCCGATTAAGTTGTCCTACATTTCTATTGAGCTTGATGGCTTTGTGTCAAAGGGAGGTTGGTTGGCGGGTGCTCTGGTGTGGTTTGCTCCTCTAACATCTCTAATCTTCTACACTTATATGACCTTATTGTGTTTAATTGCGTAAAACTCTCACTAAAACGAAACTAAAAGATAAAAGTAGGCCTACATTGTTATCTTGACCATTTAAAGTGTGTTCACTTTTTATATGTAAATGATATATACGCCCCGGTTGATACAATGTAAATCATGTGTGCGATACTTTCTGCCGGTTGAGATAGTTTCTGGGTTTGTTTTTAAAGATCATGTATTGTCTCATAACCTTTTATGTCAATTTAAAAACAGATTTCTGTGTAGATCTTACTGAAAAATGCAGTGTAAATTTTCTCGCTAATTCTACTTCCGGCTCAAGGGGACCCCCAACCTTTTCCAATCACAAATATCTCAATTTCTGTTCAAGATAAATGAGTACTTTTTCTTCACAAAAGCAAGACAAATTAACAAGCTTTCAGATTATACCAATATCTCCAAGATCCCAAAAATTTATGAGCGTCTGATTCCACCATGTTGCAATACAATTGATGCTCTTAATTGAGAGTTCATCACTTTCTCTTTTTGTTAGAGTTAGAAAGAGCACCTTCAGACAGAAGTAGAGTACGTACAGGTTATATTTTGTCCAGATTTTCCTGAAGTTGTTAGGAGCTTTCTTATGAAGAAAATCATACAAGAATTTTTAAACAAAGCAGACAAAAATGGTAAAGGCGTGGGAGTGGTTGCGAAATAGGGAAAATACGTAGGGTTCCTTGGAATAGTCCTTTCTTGTCGGTCTCAAAATTCATGGCCATTGAGCTTAAACTGTTGTTTAGAGGCACTGCTTTGGTGTCTTTGTTACTCTGGGGCTTTTCATGAAAAGATTCCACACACACATACACACACACACACACACACACACACACACACACACACACACACATAGACACACAAACATACACACATGCCCACACATTTTAAAAGGATGTACACTTAAAATAATATCTTCCACGTGACCTTTACGAATAAGAGGTCTGATGTTAGGACACTTTATTTGATCAAAACGTAGGATTGTTGAAACGAGACTGACTTGTCCAAAAAATCTATAAATCTGTCCTTGCACTAATTAAATAGGCCTCATGTCACGCAATTCAAATCTAGCTAATT